ACTGTGAGAAATAAATTTCTGTTTTTTGTGACCTACCCAGTTTATGGTATTTTGTTCCTGCAGCCAGAAGGAACTAAGATGCTGGCTTCTGTCAGCATAAAGCCTTTGAGATTCATTGAAGTTGTTGGGTGTACTGATACCTGTTGTTTTCCTGAGTAGCATTCTGTTGTGTGGATGTACCATAGTTTGTTTATTCATTCTCCCATTGAAGGATATTTTAGTTGTCATTTTTTTGTCATCACAGATAATGCTACTATAACTGTTTGTATATAGAATTTTGCAAATAGCAGTTTTTATTTCTCTAGAGGAAATACCCAGGAGAGGGATTGTATGGTTGGATGGTCATTGTATGTATACATTTTTGAGAAACTATAAAAGTGTTTTCTCTAGTGTCTGTACTATTTTGCATTCCACTAGGAATGTATGAGGGTTGTAGTTACTCTGCATCCCTGCCACCACTTGGTATTGTCAGTATTTATTTTTTTTCTGAGGTGGGGTCTCATCTGTCACCCAGGCTGAAGTACAGTGGTGTGATGATACTGGCTTGCTGCAGCTTCCACCTCCTGGGCTCAAGTGATCCTCCCACCTCAGCCTACTGAGTAGCTGGAACCATATCCATGCACCACCATCCCTGCCTAATTTGTTTTTTTTTTTTTTTTTGTATTTTTTGGTAGAGAGTGGATTTTGCCATGTTGCCCAGGCTCTGTCAGTATTTTTTATTTTAACCATTCTAATAGATTTGAGTGATATCTCATGGTGGTTTTAGTTTGCATTTCTCTAATGACTGAACAATGTTGAACAACTATTCATGTGCTGCTTTGCCACCACATCAGTAACTGCAAGGGACCTGAGTTTTAAATCCTCCCTACTTAAAAGTAGCAAGTTAGTCTCCATAGTTGCATGGATATTGTCCCTAGACGAGAAACTTCTTGGTTGGAGGCAAAAGAGGAGGACACAGGTCACAGGACATCAGCAGAACCAGCTTCATGTCCACGTGTACTGACTACCTTTGTCCTGTAAGTTCCCTGTGGGCAATGACACAAGTAGGAAATCCAAGCTCAGGGAACTCAGCTCTCCATAAGGGATGGCAAACAAACGTTTCAAACCTTTGATGTGAAGGGAGACATTATATTTACTGTACTGGACAGTTAACAAATTGTCTTCTGCTGTGGAAGGAACTGTCATCTTTCTCTTGTGAGGATGTTCAATATACAAACATTGTTGACTGGACAGTATGTAGCAAAGGCCTCTCACGGAAATGTGGGACACCAGTGTGTCTGTCTTCTTTGGTAAAGTGTCTGTTGAGGTTTTTTGCTCATTTTTAAGTTGGGTGTTTTGTTTTCTGACAACTGAGTTTTGAGAGTTCTTTATACATTCTGGGTATGTAAGTTCTTTGCCAAATTGGTGATTTGCTGCAAGTATGTTCTCCCATTCCTGTACTTGTAGCTTGTCTTTTTATTTTCTAAACAGTTATTCTGGCCGGGCGCGGTGGCTCAAGCCTGTAATCCCAGCACTTTGGGAGGCCGAGACGGGCGGATCACGAGGTCAGGAGATCGAGACCATCCTGGCTAACATGGTGAAACCCCGTCTCTACTAAACAAAACAAAACAAAAAACAAAAAACAGTTATTCCCAGAGCAAAATGTTTTGTTGCCAAGTTTGGGATGCAGATTCTGTGGGCTGTGGCTTTAATGTCAGTTCATTGTTCAGAGTTTTGTAGTGCTGTTTCCATCTGTTTCATGCATGTGCTGATCTGAGATTTGCATAGTGGTCTCTCTGTTAGTCCCAATTTAGAAACCTTTGGTACTGAATAGCATCAGATCCATGCATATGCAGCCTAAGGGTAAGCCTAGAAATTGCTTTCTTGAGTTCTCCTCAGCAGTTTTTCCCATACTTTTTGTTCCCCAGGAGCTCATATTTCCTTTCTTTGTCCAGAAAACTGTGGATTTAGTTATCCCACTCTGTCATGTCCTTCCACCACTGCCTATACGTTTGAGACCAAGGATAGAGATTGGGAAAAATCGATAGTTCTCCTGCCTCAGAGTTTGGCTGCTGTACTCTCTCATTTCAGCCATAGCTGCAAACAAAGCACACGATTGCTGGGCACTGTGGCTCAAGAGAAAGTGGGGATGGTAAGTGGAGAGATCCCCATATTCTCTCTGGCTGTTATGAGTTCCCTTTCACATGCCTAGAGCCCGATCTAGAGGAGCTTTCTATGTGCTGTGGGGCCCATTTCCAGGTTGGCTGGTGGTATTGGATGGGAGAAGGAGGTAATCTCTTAGACGGCTGGGTAGTACTTCCAATTCTGGTCTTCCCCACTTCTCCATTTTGCTTTTCAGAATCCTCAAAAGTAGTGCACAGTGCATACTGACCAGGTTTGATAGCTGGGTGAAATCTGTGAGGCCTCTCTCCCCAGCAACTGCAGTCGCTGTGCTCAATTTTTCTTCCTTGTTTTCATTTATGCCTGACTTCCTTCTAGCTGTCACCCCCGTGTCTGCACACCTTAATATTCAGCCAAAGATTGTTGTTGGTTCAGACAAAGATTGAGATTGCACCCAAACATCTCAGTTTTTAGTTAGGCTTCCACTCTGATCAGCAGAGCCTGTGCATGCACAGAGGAGACACAGGAGAAACCTGCAAAAATAAGAGCGAAGTTAGAGGGGAGGGCTTGAAATTTGAGTTCATTCCTTGATCTGGACGTAGATACATCGCAGAAAGTGGAAGTTTTGTCCATCTTTACAGTTGCTTTTGCAGGAGGGGATTTATTTTCCTTCTCACTTGGTCATGCTAGAAGACAGAACTCTACATCTCAAGTTTTATGTCTTAAGATAGAGATCTTACCATGCTTTCCCCTTTTCAGGAGCTTTCAGTGTTGACTTTCAGTCCAGACTCTGTAGCTTAGAGTTTTAAAAAGCCATCATGATTTGACTTCCCACCTAACTTGTTTAGTTTACCTTCTGTCTATACAAATCATTCATATTTTAAATTTGCCTTCCTGCTTCTGAGCTTTTTGTGAAAGGCATCCTTCCTGTCCAGAATGTCCTTCCTCTTTCTGTCATCTTTCCGAGACCCTTTCAACACAAGGCTCTTTAAGGTCTGTCACCAGGATCCCCAAGTGGTCTCTGTACTCCCTATGTCAGAAGTCCTATGTCTGTTGCTCCCCAACAGTTTCCTAACACCCTCTTTTTCTGCATTTTTCAGTCTGCCTGTACTTTTGGTTATGAGCTTCATGAGGGCAAGGGACGTATTCTATCAGTTGCATCACCAGTGCCATCTATCTCAATTCTCTGCACACAGTTGGCACTTAGTAAATGTTTGAGTTAAATTAATAAGATCCCCAAAATATAGGGCTTAATTTTATCTGCACATGTGTGTCTCTTGAATGAATGGTGAGGAGTGCTGCTTTTTTTCTGTGCTTGTTTGGCAGTTTGTTATTGTGGAGAAGAATGAAGACCATGTGGTTTCAGTTTGAAAGGAAATTGTTGCATAGCGATTTACCATACAGCTGTGAGACTATGAACAAATGAGTTTAAATATTACACAGTAGAAAAGAAAACTGACTTTGGAAATTATGATATTATTTCAATTTTTTTTCTCTCCTCTTCTTTCTAGACAAGGCCTCGCTCTGTCACCCAGGCTGGAGTGAAGTGGTGTAATCATGGCTCATTGCAGCCTCCAACTCCTGGGCTGAGGCAGTCCTCCTATCTCAGCCTCCCGAGTAGCTGGGACTATAGGCGTACACCATCACACCCAGCTCGTTTTTGCATTTTTTGGTAGAGATGAGATGGGGTCTTGCTGTGTTGCCAAGGCTGGTCCTGAACTCCTAGCCTCAAGTGATCCTCCCACCTTGGCCTCCCAAAGTGGTATGAGCCACTGTGCGCATCCTGGGTTTGTTTTTTTACAGTAGGCATCCTAATGGGTATGAAATGATATCTCATTGTGGTTTTGATTTGCATTTCTGTGATGATTAGTGATGCTGAGCATTTTTTCACTTGTTTGTTGGCTGTTGGTATATCTTTGGAGAATTGTCTATTGAAGTCCTTTTCCCATTTGTTAACCAGATTATCTTGGTTTTTTTGTTATTGAGTGGTCAGAGTTCCTTTATATTCTGGATATTAACCCCTTATTAGATATGTGGTTTGCAGATATGTTCTCTCATTCTGTGTGTTGTTCACAGAATGGCTCACTGCAAGCTCCGCCTCCTGGGTTCACACCATTCTTCTGCCTCAGCCTGCCGAGTAGCTGGGACTACAGGCACCCGCCACCACGCCCGGCTAATTTTTTTGTATTTTTAGTAGAGACGGGGTTTTACCATGTTAGCCAGGATGGTCTCCAACTCCTGACCTCATAATCTGCCTGCCTCGGCCTCCCAAAGTGCTGGGATTACAGGCATGAGCCACCGCCAACGCCCGGCTAATTTTTTTGTATTTTTAGTAGAGACGGGGTTTCACCATGTTAGCCAGGATGGTCTCGATCTCCTGACCTTATTATCAGCCCCCCTCGGCCTCCCAAAGGGCTGGGATTACGGGCGTGAGCCAGCTCGTCCAGCCTGTGCAGACATTTTCAAGTTTGATGGAATGTATTTGTCTGACTTTGCTTTTGTTGCCTGTGGTTTTGGTGTCATATCCTAGAAGTCGTTGCAAAATCCAGTGTCGGGAAGCTTTTCCCCTAAGTTTTCTTCTAGGAGTTTTCTAGTTTCCAGCCTTTACATTTAGGTCTTTAATCTAATGTTAGCCCTTTCTTAATTTTTTTTTTTTTTTTTTTTGGTATTTTGGGTGGGTAATAAGTCTTTCTTTCATATGGCTGTGTCATGAAATTTACTATATTTAATATTTCTTTTTTCTTTCTTCCTCCCCTCCCTCCCTCCTTCATTTCCTCCTTCCCTCTCTTACAGCTTGAAGATAATGGAATGACTCACTTTTTGTTCATAATTGGTAAGATTTTAGTTAGTAGAATGATAATCCATTTTCAACAGCACTTTCTTGTTTGTTCATTGGTTAGCAGGAAGAAGATGAGCCTGAAGTCTGAACGCCGAGGAATTCATGTGGATCAGTCGGACCTCCTGTGCAAGAAAGGATGTGGTTACTACGGCAACCCAGCCTGGCAGGGTTTCTGCTCCAAGTGCTGGAGGGAAGAGTACCACAAGGCCAGGCAGAAGCAGATTCAGGAGGACTGGGAGCTGGCGGAGCGGTAAAAGGACTTAACTAGGGGTGATTGAACAGTGACGCGACTGGATACGTAGTTCTGTCACCTTCCAAATACATTTTTTCACTTCTGCTTTAAGCTATCAGCACGTCAGTTTAATATTAAGGAAAAGGATGTTTTGCCCTCTTCTCAGTTAACTTTTAATGAACAGCTTTCAGTAGTTTCTTCATTTTGTGTTTGTCTTAACTTCTGATTATTTTCTTTGGGTTGTGTTAGTTTTAGTTTCCAAATTTAGATAATAAGCTCCTTGGAGTGGAAGAATGGAGATAGACATATTTCCTAGTGAAGATTAAATGAGCTAATAAATATGTACCCAGTGCAGGGCTTGCAAATGGCACTCATCAAGCATTATTTCCCTCATTCTTTTAATATATTCAGCATTGCATCTAGCTCAGTGATAAAACACAGTAGTAGAAATCTGTTGACTTGTATATAGTCATTGCATTGTAGAAATTTAACTTTTCTTTAAAAATTAGGTCAAATGCAGTTGATATTATCCAGAAAAATAATGATGTTAAAAATTAAAAATTAAACGATGGGCCGGGCGCAGTGACTCACGCCTCTAATCCTAGCACTTTGGGAGGCTGAGGCAGGAGGATCACCTGAGGTTAGGAGTTCGAGACCAGCCTGACCTACATGGTGAAACCTAGTCTCTACTAAAAATATTTAAAAAGTTAGTTGGGTGTGGTGGTGCACATTTGTTATCCCAGCTACTCAGGAGGCTGAGGCAGGAGAATTGCTTGAACCCAGGTGTTGGAGGTTGCAGTGAACTGAGATTGTGCCACTGCACTCCAGCCTGGGAGACAGAGTGAGACTCTGCCTCAAAAAATAAATAAATAAATAAATAAATAAATAAATAAATGATGGGAAGGCTAGTGAGCATAGTAACTAATAAAATGCTCTTTGCCAGAGCATTCTAGAAATTCTAAAACTGCTTCAACAGAAGAGAGTCAAATGGAATTCTTCCAACTCCTCTAGCTAGTTTTTTGTTTTTTCATCCAGTCAGCCAATATTTGTTGAGTGACTACTTTGCTGACATCTGTGGTGAACGCAGAGAATTAGAAATCACACGTTGCTTTCAGTGACTGTGGTCAATCAAAGAGAGAAAATTTTAGCCCAGAACATGAATGATCTCCTCAAGGTTTCCCCTGCATGCCTGATGCTGTCAGTAGCAGATCCTGTTTCAAAAACAGAGTAGAGGCCACTAGGCACAAACTCCGTCAGCTTCATCCCCTCGCCACATAAAAATGTACTAATACCTTTATATTAACTTCTTGTCTGTCCCAAAGAAAGAGGTGTCCTGATTCCATCCTCAGGCTTAGCACCTCCACCTGTGACTTTTGTTCTGTTTCTTACTGCTTTTAATTGTGACGCTGCTAAATCACTTGGAAAGTTTGTAAAAGCAGTGACTGCTGGACCTTACCCTCAGAGTCTCTGATTTTAGTAGCTTGGGAGTAAGACCAGATAATTTCCATTTCTAACAAGTTGCCTAATGATGCTGCTGCTGCTGTCTGGGGAATCACACTTGGAAAATCATTGTCTTTTAGATAGTGCTTGTGTTGTTTTTGTTTGTTTGTTTGTTTATTTGTTTTGAGACAGGGTCTTGCTCTGTCACCCTGGCTGGAGTGCAGTGGTGTAGTCTTGACTCACTGCAACCTCAGCTTCCTGGGCTCAAGTGATCCTCCTGCTTCAGCCTCCCAAGTAGCTAGGACTACAGAAGTATGCCACCACACCCAGCTAATTTTTATATTTTATGTACAGACAGGGTTTCACCATGTTGCCCAGGCTAGTCTCAAACTCCTGAGCTCAAGTGATCTGGCCACCTTAGCCTCCCCGCGCTGGGATTACAGGCGTGAGCTACCGCACCTGACCTGTGTTTGGGAATTAATACAGGTGGTTCACATGCAGCTAATCCAAAGCCAAATTTATTGCTTTTATTTATTATTCTCCCCATTCTGAACATTTTCCTCCTAACCCTTCTGATTCAATTAATGGCATCACTATTTACCAAGTTAGCTAAAAAATCTTGGTTTCATTCTTAATTTCTCCTTCATCTCCCTTGCTACCTACAACTTGACCAAGTTTTGTTTCTTTTTTTTTTTTTTTTGAGACGGAGTCTCGCTCTGTCACCCAGGCTGGAGTGCAGTGGCCGGATCTCAGCTCACTGCAAGCTCCGCCTCCCGGGTTCATGCCATTCTCCTGCCTCAGCCTCCCGAGTAGCTGGGACTACAGGCGCCTGCCACCTCGCCCGGCTAAGTTTTTGTATTTTTAGTAGAGACGGGGTTTCACTGTGTTACCCAGGATGGTCTCGATCTCCTGACCTCGTGATCCGCCCGTCTCGGCCTCCCAAAGTGCTGGGATTACAGGCTTGAGCCACCGCGCCCGGCCGACCAAGTTTTGTTTCTTCCAATTCAGAAAAGTCTTTTGAATTTTACCTTTTCTACTCCTATTTTCCAGGTACTTATTTTCTTTTACTTAAACCTTTGTAATATACTCTTACTTCTTGTCCCTGTCTCTAGTTTCTCTACCCTTCAAGTTGTTCACACAGCTACCTGCATGATCTTTCTAAAGCACAGATCTGACAACGATAACTTCTTGGATTTACAGTTTTTCTTTCTTTTTTTTTTTTTTTTGAGACGGAGTCTCACGCTGTTGCCCAGGCTGGAGTGCAGTGGCGCGATCTTGGCTCACTGCAAGCTCCGCCTCCCGGGTTCCCGCCATTCTCCTGCCTCAGCCTCCTGAGTAGCTGGGACTACAGGCGCCCGCCACCGCGCCCGGCTAATTTTTTGTATTTTTAGTAGAGACGGGGTTTCACTGTGGTCTCGATCTCCTGACCTCGTGATCCGCCCGCCTCGGCCTCCCAAAGTGCTGGGATTACAGGCTTGAGCCACCGCGCCCGGCCGGATTTACAGTTTTTCTTGCTTCCCCACCACATGATGAAATCCAGAATGTGGGCTTAGCAATCAAGATTCCTTACCCTCTGGTGCCTTCCTGTGTATCCAGCATCACCATTCATTACACTCCCAGTGCTCTGGCTACATTCAGCTTGTTGTGAAGCAAACCACAGGTTTGCACATTTGTAGTTCCTCCTTCTTGGAATATCCTTTCACTTAGAATACTATTCGGCCTTATTAGTCAGGCGTGGTGGTGTGCGCCTGTAGTCTCAATAACTTGGAAGGCTGAGGCGTGAGAATCGCTTGAACTCAGGAGGCAGAGGTTGTAATGAGCCGAGATCGTACCATCTCACCCCAGCCTGGGTGATGGAGTGACACTGTGTCTCAAAAACAACCCAAAAAAAAGGATCCTATTTATCCTTTAAGACCCAGCCCAAACATCAGTGTTGTAAGGCCCCAACAGACTCCCCCAGCAGATTGAGTTGTTCTTTCCTGTGTTCTCACAGCACTCAATTTTTACTCTCTAATGTAGCAGCTGTCCCATTATGTAGCAGTTGTTTACTTACCTTTTTCTCTGTTCCAGCCTTGAGCTTGTTAGGGAAAAGGACTAGACTTGATTTCTTTCATGTAACCCTAGAGCAGTTGCTGAATGAGCATGAGAAGATCCCATTTGAAATCTGTAGTGCATGAAGAGCAGTCCATCCTGTAGCTATGTGAGACCTCAGGCTGATTTGTTATATTTAGTCTCTAGTTCTAAAATCTTGAGATCCTCCTGAATTAGTGGAGTAATAACCTTCAGATAAAGAGAAACCTTGGAGAATATCTAGATCATTCTAATCCTTTCTTGAATTGCAGACTCCAGCGGGAGGAAGAAGAGGCCTTTGCCAGCAGTCAGAGCAGCCAAGGGGCCCAATCCCTCACATTCTCCAAGTTTGAAGAAAAGAAAACCAACGAGAAGACCCGCAAGGTTACCACAGTGAAGAAATTCTTCAGTGCGTCTTCCAGGGTCGGATCAAAGAAGGGTAATGTTCTGATACTCTTTTTTTCTTCTCTGCCTGAGTGAGACACAGAGTAGATCCACAATGCTCACAGGCTCAGGTTGTAATTTCTGTCAACTTTTTGAGAACATCAGCTCAGATTTGAGACTGAAAGTGGGTTTGAGGGTCAGACAATATATGAAACCAATACTCTCTTTGGTTGAAAGACATTGTGTTTTAGAGAAATTTGTTTATAGGAGGAATAAAGAGAATTGAAATAGGTAGTTTTGTTTATGAAAGTCATCCCCATCCAAATGACTTTATCTCTTTGGATGTTTTGTTTTTTTGTGTCTTTATTTGTGGATCCTGGTTTGTTCTGTGGTGTAATACCCTCACTGTTCACAGCTTGTCAGAAATGGTGATTTCTGGGCTTGAAAGTCATCTGAGAGAGATTTTCTGCTCGAGAGCTTATTTGAGAGACAACTTGTGTCTTGAGAAAGTGTATTGAGAAAATATAGGAAAAGGCCCACGTTGGGCTCCTGGGGGGATGAGAGTGAGCTGTAGTAGCTATTTTCCAGTGCATGGGTTTGTATGTAGGTGATCATATTCACCCTGCTTCTTAAAATGCCATGTAACCAGCAAGAGGATTGTCACTTAAGTCACAGTTGTTCTACGATTGAGCAGCCTAGCCAGTTGAAGTGGCCCAACATGAAGCAGGAAAGAATCTTTGTTGTCGGGCCTCGGTCTCTGAAAATGTATGTTGTTACTCAGAGTTATGCAGTCAGCGTGAAATAATGAGGGAGACTGGGAACCACCACTGATGCTGTCAGAAGACCTGTTCTCTGGGAGCCCCCTCACTTGCTCCCCGGTTCCTGCCCTGGGGTAATTGTAATGAGGTCTTCTCTCCTGGAGGCAACGGAATGAAAAATAAGACAGTGTTACCCCTTAAGATCCTTGCCGGTCTTCTAGGTTTTGTGACTTTTGCTGTTTCCTTTTGTTTTATTAAAAGGAAATATTGCTTATAACCAAAAACACGCTTCTCTTTAAGACATGGATTCCAGGTCTGGTGCGGCAGCTCAAGCCTATAATCTCAGCACTTTGGGAGGCCAGGACAGATGGATTTCCTGAGCTCAGGAGTTTTTGAGACCAGCCTGGGCAACATAAAACCCCGTCTCTACAAAAAATAGAAAACCCCGTCTCTACAAAAAATAGAAAAATCATCCAGGCACAGTGGCATATGCCTGTAGTCCCAGCTGAGGCCAGGAGGCTAAGGCAGGAGAATCATTTGAACCCAGGAGGTGGAGGTTGCAGTGAGCCAAAATGGTGCCATTGCACTCCAGCCTGGGTGACAGAGCAAGATCCTGTCTAAAAAAAGGAAAGAAAAGAAAAAAGATGGATTATATGATGAATTTGAAGTTGTTTCTTGGTTGGCTGCCAGTTGTAGCAATTTTGTCTCTACGAAAAACGAGCAAAAAAATTAGTTCCTGCCAGAGATTAAATAAGAATGTATTGGGCTCATGATTTATTTATTAGGAGGTGGAATAGACAGATGGTTAGTAAGGTGACTTTGGAATCACCCCTGGTTTGAGTCCTAACTTTGTCATTTACCAGCTTTGTGACCCTGGGTGGACTAACGACTCCGAGTCCTGTCAAAAGTGAGGGACAGTAATACCTACCAGAGGCATGTGATGAGGGTTCAGTGAGTTAATGCGCGTTAAGAGCTTAGCACAGTGCCCGACACACACAGTAGATTTCCAGTAAGTGTTAGCTATTTTAAAATGGAAGTTGTTCTTCTGATAGAATAATCTTGCAGGGAGCGCAAAGGCATTTACTATTAAGACTACTCATTCCTATTTAGCTTAAGGTCTGTTTCTTGATGATATGTAGTGAAATAAGTATTTATAGCAGATAAAATAATTTTAAAAATTATAAAATTGGCTGGGCGCGGTGGCTCAAGCCTGTAATCCCAGCACTTTGGGAGGCCGAGACGGGCGGATCACAAGGTCAGGAGATCGAGACCATCCTGGCGAACACAGTGAAACTCCGTCTCTACTAAAAAAAATACAAAAAACTAGCCGGGCGAGGTGGCGGGCGCCTGTAGTCCCAGCTACTTGGGAGGCTGAGGCAGGAGAATGGCGTGAACCCGGGAGGAGGAGCTTGCAGTGAGCTGAGATCCGGCCACTGCACTCCAGCCTGGGCGACAGAGTGAGACTCCGTCTCAACAGCAACAAAAAAAAAATTATAAAATTATCAGCTCTAATAGCCTCATTTTGCAGGTGACAGTATGAAAGTCCATAAAGGTTAACTAATTTACCCAAGGTTGCACAATGAGTTTGTGTATGAGATCTTGGGTCTCCTAACTCCTGGGTCTATATTTTTCCATTATATTCCTTTATCCAATGTGTATACTTCAGAAACTCAGGTTATTTAATATATATATTAAATAATATATATATGAAATTTCTGTTACTTAAGTACATAATCATCATTTATATTCGCTGACTCTCCTTGGTGGTTTTAAAAACCTGTGTCCCAAAAGCCTCTGTACAGTTTGCATTATACTATGGAAAGAAGATTTACAATTTAGTACAGAGTCTGTACTTTAAAAAGAAACAATTCTGGAGCTGGGTGCCATGGCTTGTACCTACCTATAATCCCAGCTACTTGCAAGACTAAGGTAGGAGGATTACATGAGCTCTGGAGTTAGTGGCTTCAGTGAGCTGTGATTGTGCCACTGTATTCCAGCCTGGACATCAGAGTGAGACACCAACATTAAAAAAAAGTAATTAATTAAAAAGAAAGAATCCAAGTGAATTTTGTTTTAAAAAATATGTATGCAGAATGGTTTTTACTTTTGTTCTTGTCTCCCCACCGCCCCCCATCTTTTTGAATGTTAGATTTGTACTTTAGATATTTTGTTCTTTAGTTGCTTTTTGTCTGTAGAAAGCTTTTGGGGATAAAGACCTTAAAGTATTTTAAAAATTCATGTTAGAAAAGAAGATTCCATTGTATCTTTGTTTCACAGACCACTTAATAGAACTTAGCCAGGTAAATTTTGCATTTCACACTGATTACTTCTTTGGCCATTATGTGTGGATAAGGTTAGCCTGAGTGCAGTTTTAATGTATTGGGTCTAGACTAGAAACAGACTTTTTGTATTCCGTATTCTTGATCTTCTTTAGTCTGTGATGCCCTTGCTCTTGGTATTTTATTTGTTTCTGTTAGTAGCATAAAGGAAAGTTTTTATGCCATACATAAGAGCTTGGTAGCAGACAAAATACAAATAACCTTCTACGGAATTTGAAGATATTTTCACATTCTTGTAGAGTTGGATACGCCTTCAGAGAAAGCACATGGAATATCTTGACTGTAAAGACTCAGTTAAAGTGTTTTAGTCTCCACAGTCAGGGTGAGTGAGCTGTATAGAGGAAGTCATAGTGGTTGGCCAAGCTGAGATACTTGCTTATACATTTCAAAGTGCCCTTTTCTTTCAGAACTCCTGTAATCTTGTCATCCCAAGTATCATCTTATGTACCTCTTTCACGAACGGATCTGAAGACAGTGGTCCTACAAAGCATATCTTTTCTTTTTTAGAGTTAAAATACCAATACCGGCTGGGTGCGGTGGCTCACACCTGTAATCCCAGCACTTTGGGAGGCCGAGGCAGGTGGATCACAAGGTCAGGAGATCGAGACCATCCTGGCTAACATGGTGAAACCCCGTCTCTACTAAAAATACAAAAAATTAGCCGGGCGTGGTGGCGGGCGCCTGCAGTCCTGGCTACTCGGGAGGCTGAGGCAGGAGAATGGCGTGAACCCGGGAGGCGGAGCTTGCAGTGAGCCGAGATCACGCCACTGCACTCCAGCCTGGGCAACAGAGCCAGACTCTGTCTCAAAAAAAAAAAAAATACCAATACCACCCAGACCTTAGACTCTAAATACTATTATTCTTTAAAGTGAACCAGGGCTTCTTGGAGAAATGACTGATTCTGGGACTGGGGCAGGGAAAAAAGGCCCCTTCAATATTTTGGGGACAGTTCAGAAGATCCAGAAGCCAGCTTGGAGGGATTTCCACTGACCAAGTCTGGGATAATTTGAGTGTCCAAATAAATAAGGACAATAAGGCCGGGCACGGTGGCTCACGCCTGTAATCCCAGCACTTTGAGAGTCCAAGGCGGGCAGATCACCTAAGGTCGGGAGTTTGAGACCAGCCTGGCCAACATGGCGCAACCCCATCTCTACTAAAAATACCAAAATTAGGCAGGTGTGGAGGTGAGCACCTGTAATCCCAGCTACTTGGGATGCAAAGTCAAGAGAATCGCTTGAGGCCTGGCGCGGTGGCTCACGCCTGTAATCCCAGCACTTTCCGAGGCCGAGGCAGGCGGATCACGAGGTCAGGAGATCGAGACCATTCTGGCTAACATGGTGAAACCCCATCTCTACTAAAAACACAAAAAATTAGCCGGGCGTGGTGGCCGGCCACTGTAGTCCCAGCTACTCGGGAGGCTGAGGGAGGAGAATGGCGTGAACCTGGGAGGTGGAGCTTGCAGTGAGCTGAGATCTTGCCACTGCACTCCAGCCTGGGCGACAGAGTGAGACTCCGTCTCAACAACAACAACAGGAAAGAGAATCGCTTCAACCTGGGAGGTAGAGGTTGCAGTGAGCTGAGATCGTGCCACTCCAGCCTGGGCAACAAAGCGAGACTCCGTCTCCAAAAAATAAATAAATAAATAAATTAAATTAAATTAAATTAAATTAAATGAAGAAATCAATAAATAAGAACAATAAATGAAGTAAAACTGATTGAACAAAAATCATAATCCTTGTGTTAATTTAGTAAAATAGAGAAATATGGCTGGTGCAGGGGCTCATGCCTGTAATCCCAGCACTTTGGGAGGCCGGGGCGGGTGGATCATCTAAGGTCGGGAGTTCGAGACCAGCCTGGCCAACATGGTGAAACCCTGTCTCTACTAAAAATACAAAAATTAGCCGGGGGTGGTGGCGTGTGCCTGCAATCCCAGCTACTTGGGAGGCTGAGGCAGGAAAATTGTTTGAACCCGGAGGTGGAGAGTGCAGTGAGCCAAGATCGTACCACTGCACCGCAGCCTGAGCAACAATGTGAGATCCTCATCTCTTAAAAAAAAAAAAAATTTAAAAATAGCTGGGCTAGTGCCTGTAGCCCCAACTGCTTAGGAGGCTGAGGTGAGAGGATCGTTTGAGCCTGGGAGGTTGAGGCTGCAGTATGCTGTGTTCATGCAACTGTACTCCAGCCTGGGTGACAAAGTGAGACCCTGATTTAAAAAAAAAAACCAAAAGGTGACTTTAAGTTGAAGAGCAAGCACTTGCCATTTGAGCCCTAGCCAGAACTATAAACTGTAATGTGGGTGACATTGTTCTTTTCCATATTTTCTTCTTCTTCACTTCTTTCACCTTACACATTGAATCCCTGTTTGGCTATTCAGACATAACTCACGTCCTCCCTGTGTACCGAACACCTGAACCGTCTCTCACTTTCCCCTCTCTAATCCAAACTTCTAGCCTCTTAGTAGGGGTTAATTTTTAGGAAGCTTAGAGAAAAACAACCAAGTGTTGATTTTAGTAACTTGTATGATCATAACTAGCTAATAGAATTAATCCTCATTTACATTTTAAAAGGGGATTTTTTTTTTTTAAAGTAGAAGTGTCTCTTTGGATAAGTATATGTGGGAGGGAAGCATATTGTAAGCAAAGCAATAAAGGAAATGAGTAGGGTTTTCTTGTCTTTGACTGGCCTACAGACCTCCAAAGTCAGAGGGATTGGTGTTCTTCTGAAGAGTCTTCAGTCCTCTCTTTGGCTTACTGAGGTAGTTGTAGCATAGTCAACAGCTCAGGCCTTGGATTTAAGCGCACAGAGCTGGGTTCAAATTCCAGTCTTTACTGTATAAGTGACTGCAACGTTACTCAAGTTACTTAACATATTCAAGCCTCAGCTTCCTCATTTGTAAATATCATAAGTGTATAACCCGATAGACTTGTGAGGATTATACAAAATAGCATTGTAAAAGTACTTAGTGCTTAATAGACATTATCTATATGTAAGTTACTACCATTATTATTTTGTCAGATGGAATATGTATTATGTTTTTATTGGGTTGAGTGTTCTGTCAGAGTCAGATAGGTCAAATTGGTTGATAGCATTGCATTGTTCAAGTCTTCTGTCTTTAGTGACTTTTTAAAAATCACCTTTCTGTCAATTACTAAGTGAGGAATATTGAAATGTCCAAATTTGTTTCTCCTTTCAGTTCTGTCAGATTTTGTTTTTTGTGTTTTGAAGCAGTGTTATTAGTATATACATATTTAGGATTGCTGTGTCTTCTGGAAAAATGAACCCCTTTTTTATGATGAGATGCCCTTTTGTTCTTGGTAATATGGTCCATGTTCTTTTTTTTTTTTTGAGACGGAGTCTTGCTTTGTTGCCGAGGCTGGAGTGCAGTGGCAAGATCTCAGCTCACTGCAAGCTCCGCCTCCCGGGTTCACGCCATTCTCCTGCCTCAGCCTCCCGAGTAGCTGGGACTGAAGGCACCCACCACCATGCCCGGCTAATTTTTTGTATTTTTAGTAGAGACGAGGTTTCACCATGTTAGCCAGGATGGTCTCGATCTCCTGACCTTGTGATCCGCCTGCCTTGGCCTCCCAAAGTGCTGGGATTACAGGCATGAGCCACTGCGCCCGGCCAATATGGTCCATGTTCTTAAGTTTACTTTGTCTAACATTGGTGTAACCACTTAAGCTCTTTTTCATTGTTTCAGAGTATCCTTTTCCTTTCATTAGTTTTTAACATGTTTGTATCTTTATATTTAATTTCTTACAGACAACATGAAGTGGGGTCTTGTTTTTTAATCTAATCTGATAATCTCTGACATTTAATCAGACTGTTTATAGCACATACATTTAATGTGATTTTCGATAAGGGAAAGTTTACCCCTGCCATCTTGCTCTTTGTGTTTATCTCATCTTGTCTTAGTTCCTTTTCTCCTCTTTTCTTGCCTTCTTTATGACCACACCTTTATCTCCACTATCAGCTTGTTAGCTATACCTCTTTGTTCTGTTTTTGTTACTGGTTGTTCTGGGGTTTACAGAATACATCTTTAACTTATCATCTACCTTCAAGTAATATTATACCACTTTACAGAAAAAAGAAAAAAATTTAAAACAATAGTATTATACCACTTTACAGAAAAGAATCTTAAATGGAATTTTTTACATGTAATTTATTATTTATTTTTATTATACTTTTAAGTTCTGGGTTACACGTGCAGAATGTGTAGTTTTGTTACATAGGTATATGCATGCCCTGGTGGTTTGCTGCACCCATCAACCTGTCACCTACATTAGGTATTTCTCCTAATGTTATCCCTCCGCTTGTCCCCCACCACCCAGCAGGCCCCAGTGTATGATGTTCCCCTCCCTAAACAGGATTCTTTTTTTTTTTTTTTTTTTTTTTTTGAGACGGAGTCTTGCTCTGTCTCCCGGGCTGGAGTTGCAGTGGCCAGATCTCAGCTCACTGCAAGCTCTGCCTCCCGGGTTCCCGCCATTCTCCTGCCTCAGCCTCCCGAGTAGCTGGGACTACAGGCGCTGCCACCTAGCCCGGCTAGTTTTTTGTATTTTTTAGTAGAGACGGGGTTTCACCATGTTCACCAGGATGGTCTCGATCTCCTGACCTCGTGATCCACCCGTCTCGGCCTCCCAAAGTGCTGGGATTACAGGCTTGAGCCACTGCGCCCGGCCGAAACAGGATTCTTATATTTCTTCCTCCCGTCCTTTGTGCTGTGGTTCTACATGTTACTTGGTGGTTCTTTCTCTCATCTTGGGTAATTTCCTCATACGCATGTGCAGTACTCAGCCACACTCAAGGGAACCCTCTGCAGTTACCTGGAGCTTTTTCTGTGTAGTCCTCTCCCCTCCATAGCATTTGCATGATATTTTGCCTTGCAAATTCTGGTCACATTGGCCTCCCAGAACTCCAAATGCTGTCTCCTCAATTCAGCAAGTCAGCTATGCTCTGTTTGAGTGGCCTCTCCCTGTGCCAAGACTTTAAAACTCTCCCAGCAGTGAGCTGGGACTCTCTAGGACAGACTATGTTTGTTTTCCTTCTTTCAGGAGTTAATCTGCTGTTTGCCTGTCATCTAGTGTCTGAAAACCTTTTGTTCATATATTTGTCTGACCTTCCAATTGTTAAGATAGTAGGGTAAACCTGATGCGATCAGAGTTTTCCATCATGACTAGAAGCGGAATTATCAGAGAAGGATTCGCTTCCAAACACTAAAGAATTTTTTTCTAATCATACCGATGTCAGCACAATCTTTGGTTTTCAATTGAGATAAACAATACTTTAGAAAAGATGTTCCCTTTTTTGTTTTGAATTAGATTGTACATGATTTATTTATGTGCTTAAAAAATAGGTAGTATATACAAATGGCGCTAACAGGTATGGTCAGAAGTTTCGTTTCTAGTTTGTCTCTTGCCCATCTAGTTCCTAAGCAACACTGCTTTGTTTCTCCCACTTTCAGACAACTTTTGTTATTACTTTCTTGTGTATCCTTTTGTGCTTTTATTCTGAGTTATAAACACATATATTCTTATCCCACTACCCCATTTTACATAAAACATAGCACAGTGTACATACCTTACTTTTTTTTTTTTTTTTTGAAAAGACAAGGTCTCATTCTGTCGCCCAGGCTGGAGTGCAGTAGGGCGATTTCATAACTCACTGCAGTGTCAAACTCCTGGGCTCGAGCGATCCTCCTGCTTCAGCCCCCCCAAATAGCTGGCACTATAGGTATGCACTACCATGCCTGGCTAATGTTCTTACTTTTTGTAGAGAGAGCAGCTACTCGGAGACTGAGTAGCTCGGTAGGAGAATCGCTTGAACCTGGGAGGTGGAGGTTGCAGTGAGCTGAGATCGTGCCACTGCACTCCAGCCTGGGTGGCAAAGCAAGACTTTGTCTCAAAATAAAACGTACTTTTTAAAAAAATTATTTTTCTTTTTAGGAAATCATTGGGATATGGGAAACTTAAATTCCTTATAAACATTAGAGAGCATAGTTCAAAATCAGGAGGTTTAGAATGTGATCAGAGACCAAGTGGTAGTTCGTACTTTCTAAAAGCACATACTGCCTGTTACAACATCCTTCTCTCTCTTGTGTAAATGTCCCATTTTCCTTTCAGTGTGTTTATTTGAAGAGGGGAAAGAGTTGTCTGCCCAGCTGATCAGATAGTGTGGTGCATGTTTCCCTTGTCTCTTCATCGTGTGTTTTGTCGTGTTCATCATGCTATTAACACTTTGGATGCATTCTTTCACTTTGATCAGTATGACTCACCAATGAAATGGTGGGTAAATTATTGTGAGTCTCCACATAAACACATTAACCTTTGCCTTTTTGTCAAGTAAAATGGGATTTGGAAAGGTTGTCTAACATTTATAAGTCATCTGACATTTCAGTGCTTCTATTGATTGTTTTCTATTTGTTGACTAGTTTTATAAACTCAAGCAGTCTTTGAGAAGCCTAGTGGTGCCATTTCAGTGTTCATGATTGAATATATAGATCAAAGCATGATATATTTTGGCAAAGAAAATGCTAGTAGAACAACTTTTATTTCAGTAGGAATATCTTTTAGATAATGTAGTTTTGTCTACTCATACTTCCTACTTGTAAAACAGATTTAGTTTACTTTAAGGAAAGTTGTCCAACCATTCAAACATAAAATGATTTAAATTCAAGTTTAACTTTGATGAAACATAATTTAAATAACCTTAAGTTACATACTTAAAGTAATTCCATGCATGGATCTTTTATGTCATGAAACTTACTATGTTTAATTTTCCCAGCAGAAATTCAGGAAGCAAAAGCTCCCAGTCCTTCCATAAACCGGCAAACCAGCATTGAAACGGATAGAGTGTCTAAGGAGTTCATAGAATTTCTCAAGACCTTCCACAAGACAGGCCAAGAAATCTATAAACAGACCAAGCTGTTTTTGGAAGGAATGCATTACAAAAGGGTAGGTTGGGAATAACCACGTAGAAACACAGAGTTTTGGTTTGAGGAAAGGTCTTAGAGATAATATAGTGTAACGTTGTCATTTTATACCTGAGAAAATCAAGACCAAGAGATGTTAAATTACTTACCTAAGAAAAGCCTCTGAATCAAGCCAAAACCCGACTCTCAGGCTAGTACTTTTCCACTGCAACTCAGTGGTGTTTGGATCATCTTTGTGTGGAAATCTGACCTTGAAGCCACTTGAATGATGTGCTTTAGTAACAGGCCTTTTTGACTTGTAACCTTGTAAACGGTATAAACCGCCATAGACGACCTTTAACTCTGTGCAACCATCGTCAGGCTGGTGGCAGTAATTTTAATGGTTGTTGCAGTAATTTTAAGGGTGGTTGTTGTTGTTGAATTCTGTTTTGTTTTTTGTATTTTGATTTAGAATTTTTCTCATTCAGTTAGAGAAAGGACAGATAGAATTTAGACAATGAAAGGAACTTTAGCAGCTATGGAGTTTCAGTCCCTTTGTTTTATAGATGAGGAAGTTGAGAGCCAAAGAGGATAAGTGACCTGTCCAGGTTACACAGCTAGATTTTGCCAATGTCAAGCAGAACTTGTGACTTTCACACCTGTTACTTTTACCCATAATTTCAGTGGCAGTAATTCATAAGACTGCCTGTAAAGGAATTCATTTTGTAAATAGGGATTAATTCTGTTGTAACATTCTATAACCATTAAGCTCAGAATTAGCTCCAAAAGTTCTTTCTAAGGAAGTCTTAGAAAAAGGAAATTAGAAAAGCAGCAGAGTGTTTAACTGTTCAGCTATATTCTAGCTGGGGTCAGCAATCACTAGGCTAATAAGCAGTAAACCTGTGTCAAAATAGTTTTTAGATATTGAATTCAGCTTGTAAAGGAGAAAAGCTGGCTTTCTCACCCTTCAGAAATGTAATCAGACTGTGTAAGTAAGTAGCTGTCTTTCTTTAGGTATTTTTTCTCTCTAGAGTAAAACATTAGAGTTAAAACAAGTAAGCTTTCATTGATCTTTTTTTTTCTTAAGTTAGGAACCATGATAGAGATCTTTTTTTTTTTTTTTTTTTCTTTTTTTTTTTTTGAGACGGAGTCTCGCTCTGTTGCCCAGGCTAGAGCAATGGCGCGATCTCGGCTCACTGCAAGCTGTGCCTCTGGGTTCACGCCATTCTCCTGCCTCAGCCTCCCAAGTAGCTGGGACTACAGGCGCCCGCCACCACGCCTGGCTAATTTTTTGTACTTTTAGTAGAGACAGGGTTTCGCCGTGTTAGCCAGGATGGTCTTGATCTCCTGACCTTATGATCCGCCTGCCTTGGCCTCCCAAAGTGCTGGGATTACAGGCGTGAGCCACCGCGCCCGGCCAGATAGATATCCTTAATATGGAAAAATTCAGAGTTCATGTGACACTATCTTTCATTTTTATCAGAACTAAAAACTGAGGTTTTGTATTTATTTTTTTCTTGAGCCCACATGAAATGTTGATGAGATAGCTATATTAAATTAGTATATGTATACTGTAGCACTTATAGCATATATGCTGTATCATAATATGTTTTAGAAAATTGCACAACTCAGATTTGTTGTTTCTCTTTTCCTTAGAAGTGTGATGTGTTCTTATTCTATGATAATTTAGTAGACTTCTAAATGAGTATACTAAAGTAAAGAGGTAATTAACTGGTACAAATATCACCATATTTATTTGTAAGGCATCACTAGTTTATATCAGAGACCTGGATATGGCCTCAGATTCCTCCTGTTTTAAGAGCCACTAAGCCACCTATTTTCCATTTCTATACTATGTGTTTCATGGTTAGGTGGCCAAGTCCTATGCATGTATCTCAGGTATCTTTAGTGTGAAGTCTGCACATACTGCATATGAAAGAGATGTTTTTTAAACTGAATGTCCCTAGAGAAGCCCTTTTGGCCTTTGGCCACAAGTTAATGTCCTTTCAAATAAGTAAATAAGGCGGGGCATGGTGGCTCAAGCCTGTAATCCCAGCACTTTGGGAGGCCGAGACGGGCAGATCACGAGGTCGGGAGATCGAGACCATCCTGGCTAACATGGTGAAACCCCATCTCTACTAAAAAATATAAAAAAACTAGCCAGGCGAGGTGGCGGGCCCCTGTAGTCCCAGCTACTCGGGAGGCTAAGGCAGGAGAATGACGTAAACCCGGGAGGCGGAGCTTGCAGCGAGCTGAGATCCGGCCACTGCACTCCAGCCTGGGCGACTGAGCAAGACTCCATCTCAAAAAAAAAAAAAACAAATAAGTAAATAAACATTCTTTACACCTGAACTAACCTAACTAACTTCAGATCAGTAATCATATAAATTTCTTGGGGCAGTTCCTCTGACATTGTGAAGAATGTGGTAGTATAAAATAGCCTTTGTACTCAATTTATCAAAACTGCTCAAAACCTTTAAATTAATGTTATTACCACCAACTAAACTTTCCAGATGGTATCCTAAGGGCCTATGCAATATGAGAATTCATTCTTACCTGTTTAAAAACTGCCCTGGCGGCCTTGCCATAAACAGATAATTGTTCCTACTGCATCCCACAGTATTATTCTTTCTAAAATTTCTGAGATCCAGAAGAGTGATCTGCTGTTGCCCACATCTTTTCCCACATCATTTCTGTTTTCTCCAATCCCAGTATATGCCAGCAGTGAGCAGTCTTTTCAGCATATGGGTCAAGTCTAGAAAATTACATCTTTTCTGAACTGCATTAAAATTTTTAAGCCATTTTATCTTTATCAAGAAACACTTTATCTGTCTACACTTAGATTTTTTTTGTTTTTAGAATTTAAATTTCAGCACCTACATAATTTTCATACCCACTGCAGTATTGACGTGTAATGCTTTACTATGCAACACATCTCTCTTTCTTTCTTTCCTTTCCTTCCTTCCTTTCTTTTTTTGAAGCAGCGTGGAGGTTTGTATTTATTTTGTATTTGCACCTAGAGTGGAGCCCAATGGTGCAGTCACTGCTCACTGCAGACTTGACCTCCCAGACTCAAGTGATCCTCCTGCCTTAGTCTCCCTGGGACTGTCGGCGAACACCACCATGTCTGGCTGAGTTTTTTATTTTTTGTAGAGACGGGGTTTCCCTATGTTGCCCAGGTTGGTGTTGAACTCCTGACCTTAGGTGACCCTCCCAACTTATCCTCCCAAAGAGCTGGGATTACAGGTGTGAGCCACGGCGCCCAGTGCTATTCAGCAAATACTGTTGTTTGCTAATACTTTTCTGAAGCTTGTTTATTTTGCTCTTTTTTCTTTCTTGTTAGTCTTACTAGCTACTTAATGTTAAAACATGTATACTCTTATAGTACCTCTATACATTCTTTAAAACAAGATATTTCCATTGCAAATTAGACAGGCAGCTATGTCATTAACACAGAATCCTTTTATGTTGAAAATGCAGTTGTCATCAGCTACTTTTCTGTTCTTACAAGTCATCAGAGCAAGAATTTAAATTGCTGAGCCAAATTAATAAAGCTTAATTTTTAAAACCTAATCTGTACAACATAACTTGAATTATTATTATTTCTTTTTGAGATAGGAGTCTTGCTCTGTTGGCAAGGCTGGAGTGCAGTGGTGTGATCTCTACTCACTGCAACCTTTACCTTCAAGGTTCCAGTGATTGTCCTCCCTCAGCCTCCCAAGTAGCTGGGATTATGCATGCATGTGCCACCATGCCTAGATAATTTTTTTTTTTTTTTTGTAGAGACAGGATTTCACCATGTTAGCCAAGCTAGTCTTGAACTCCTGACCTCAAGTGGTCTGCCCGCCTCAGCCTCCCAAAATCCTGGGATTACAGAAATGAGCCACCATGCCTGACCTGATTGTTTTTTTGTTTTTTTAAATGGAGTCTTGCTCTGTTGCATATGCTGTAATGCAGTGGCATGATCTGGGCTCACCGCAGCCTCTGCCTCCCAGGTTCAAGCAATTTTTATGCCTCAGCCTCCTGAATAACTGGGGTTACAGGTGTGCACCGTCATGCCCAGCTAATTTTTTGTATGTTTAGTAGATACGGGGTGTTACTCTGTTGGCCAGGCTGGTCATGAACTTGTAGCCTCACATAATCTCCTAGCCTCACCTTGGCCTGCCAGCATGCTGGGATTACAGGATTGAGCCACAATGCCTGGCCTAACTTGAATTTAAGAATCTCACCTTAAGAACCAAGCTTCACACAGGTCTGAGAGTGATTATGGATTCAGGAGGATTCAGGAGTATATATGGTCACTTATGAAGAGGTATACATTCTCTTTGTCATCTGTACAGAGCTTCATTTGGTGAGGGTAATTTTATAGCATTATAGAGACCCAGTTAAGTGTTAACCTTTCCCATAATAACTAGAAAACCATATTACCTAACTGAATGAGATCTGTGGCTTTGTAACGAACTTTTTTCTGTAAATTATTTATATGAAAACGCTCACTTTAAGATATCTTTAGACAGCAATTAAATAAAAGTAAATAAAACTTCTAGAAAAACTCTTTTGCTGCTCAACCTATTTAAATCCTGCCCTTGCTAAGTGTTAGTAAATCCCTCAGATACATTTTTTCCCTATTCTGAAAGTGTAGCTTGTCCTACTTTTAAAGGGGGCAGGCTCTACTTCCTCAAAGTACCTACCCTTTAATTTGTTGGATATTGCATTAATGCTTTTTAATAAACTCGGGGCCAGACGCGGTTGCTCACACCTGTAATCTCAGCACTTTGGGAGGCCGAGGTGGGTGGATCATGAGGTCAGGATTTCAAGACCAGCCTGGCCAATGTGGTAAAACCCTGTCTCTACTAAAAATACAAAAATTAGCTGGGCAGGGTGGTGCTTACCTGTAGTTCCAGCTACTCAGGAGGCTGAGGCAGAAGAATCACTGGATCCCGAAAAGTGGAGGTTGCAGTGAGCCGATCATGCAACTGCACTCCAGCCTGGGCAACAGAACAAGATTCCATCTCAAAAACAAACAAACAAAAAACACCCCTC